ACTTATCTCTCTCTCTCTCTCTCTCTCTCTCTCTCTCTCTCTCTCCTCATTTACTTGCCTCATTAGTTGTAAGGAACAATTGATCTCAAGTGAAAGAGAGCAGGGCGGAAAAGAGAGGTTTGGGACACAGTGTTAAGTGAAGACATTGTTTTTTGTATCCTTGCTTTGCACACCCTTGATTAAGCATTTTATTCGTTTCTTCATTTGCTTATTAGTTTTTCTTCAGCATTGTGTTTGGTTGGCTTTCTTCTTGGCATGTACATATAATTTCTTTTTTTTGCTTTTTTTTTTGGTAGTTTAGTGGGGGTTTGGGGTCTTACTTATAATTGGAATAGATCTCAACATATCATGTTGGGCCACCCTGACGAACTAGCCTTTGGCTCATTCCTACATGTACACATAATTTGTCTAATATTTTTTACTTGTATCCATATGCAGTGGTTACATGCCGCTCGAGTACATTTTGAAGGGGATTATCTCAGTCAAAACAGATATCTATAGTTTTGGAGTTTTGCTATTGGAAATTGTTTGCGGGAGAAAGAACAATGAGCCATTGGAAGGGAGTCGAGGACTAGTAGAATACGTAAATACAACATCTCTTCTGCATGAGCCACAATTTCTTAACGTTCAGGGGAAATAACATTTTAGGGTGTCCAAACTCCTTATAAAATAAGGGAGTGAAAAGATCTCAATTGCCATTAAAGTTTTTCTTTTTCCCATATTTTTCATTTCACTCAAATTCCATGTCAAGAAATATCTTCAAAAATGCCCAAATTGTTCCTATTCAGTAATTTGATCCACCTTAGACAAGTAGGGCACTCCTGTCATATGGTTGGGACCTCTTGGGCCGGTCAATATGCTGAAGTGCCCTTGCTTATTTGAGGTTCAGAAACTTGAACATGAACAATTTTAAGATTTTGTTTTTTTGTTTTGAAGGAGGAATGAAAATTAAAAAGTAAGTCATCTAATGTCAATTGGCATATTTTGACCCTTTAAGATTTTTAAGGGGTTTTAACCCTTAAATAATATTCTCTTTATCTTCGTTTTTTTGTTTTTCTATTATTACTTTTTTGTTCTTTCCTTTTGCATACTAGACAACATAAACTAATGGCTCCAATGACACAGGCATGGCGGTTGTGGCACGATGGGAGACCCATAGAGATGATGGATCCAACTCTTGGTGAGACATGCCCAAGAAATCAAGTTTTGAGATGCATTCACATTGGGCTTCTTTGTATTCAAGCAGATGCATCGGAAAGGCCCCCTATTTCTTCAGTGGTTGTCATGCTCGGAAGTGATTCTTCGAGTCTCAGCTTGCCCATGCCCCCACCTATGGTGTTTGATGATAGAACCAGTACAAGGTCAGATGAATCTGCAAATTACAGAGAAGGCAACTCTGTAAATGAGGTCTCAATTACTGACTTCGATGGTCGCTAATCGTAAGCATTTGACATTAATTTTTCAATAATGTAATAGAATATGTCTCCTTGCTTTTTAAAAAAAATTTGAATTTATGGTGATACTTTTTTTGTGAGTTTTATGGGTAAGTTTTGTAATATATTTGCTAAACTTATTAGAGAGGAGATGAAACAAATGTGAACACCACTCTCTATTTGGTACTACTAAGTTGTTCCAGTAGGAAACTTTTGCAATAAATGGAAATGGTTTATGCATCTCAAAAACACTTTTTCCATTTCTCAACATAGATCCACATTAACTTAATGTAAAACATATAATAACGAGGGACAACACAACGTAGTTGGCATTATATGGAATGAGACCCTCTTATCCCGCATCCTCACCATCCAAACTTTATCGCATGGTCACAGTAATCTGGTGGTGTTTCAATTTTCAATTTTTTTTCTAAATATCCAAGTTATTTGAAATTTAGAGCATGCGTAGATCTCAGTGAGGCGCACCTAATAAAAATAAAAAGAAAATAATTTGAAAAATATAAATTGAAAAAAATAAATCAAAATACTCCCAAAAGTTTACGAACACTTACAAACACTCATGAGTGAATTTCTACAGTATATCACTAATGACTTGTCATTACCTAAAATCTATAATACGGTTACAACAGTTTGGTTGTGGTTTAATTTGAATAATTTTTTTACAAATCAGACACATCTGAAATTTGGATCATGTGTACATCCAATTTTTTTAAGTAAATGAAAACTTAAAACTTAATAGGAAAATAGGAATTCATGGAAAAATAAGAACTACTGAATTATAATAAATACTTTATTTCATTATATGGAAGAAATAAACTGCAAACCAGGAGGGAACAAAATTAGTTATGAATTATCAAATAACATTTAGTGAACGTATAAACAACTATTTAGGGACTATTGTACTACAATATAATTAAATAAAAATAAAATAAATTATTTTTATTTACGTCATATTTTGTAAAATAATTTTGTTATTAATTTTCATAAACACCACACATGTCATTAGCCAGTTAAAATGTAAATTGCCACATGAGTGGCACTTGTGAGACATTATTAAAGCACCCTCTTCACTTGAAAATCATCTAAGCAAGCATATTTTTAATCCGTACGAGGTATAACAGATTTAGTTTGCAAAACATGCCTACATTTGCGGAAAATATATAGGGAAAGTGTTCTATGGTACCACTCAACTTTCCTACAACTTACTTGCACCTCCGGAGCGGTTGTTGGCTCACTATGAGAAATCCAACGCCTGTGTTGTGCTGCCCAACAATGGGAAATCCAAGTGCTAGAACTAAACTATTAATTTTCAAGTAGTTCTCGAAATTTTAGATTGAAAATAATCCTCATGACTAGGTCTTCCGACAAAAGGAGTAGAACTAAACTATGCACCCAAAGGAGCATAGTTTATATATTCTTATATTTAGGAATATCATTATATTTTTATATTAATCATTTTCATATATAAAGATGTGGTATGGCTCTTGATAGAGTCGAGTTGTAGATCAAGATTCTAATGTCTTGATTCCAAATAGTTTGAAAAAAGGTTAAAAAGATTTCCACACCGGAAAATGTACCCCATAAAACATAGGATGTGGTTTGTATAGAGTCGAGGCTCTAAATAATCAACATAGAGCACACCTTCAAAGAGTGTCGAGAAATATGGTTTCCTTCAATGGTTTAAAAAGCGGATCGGTGACCCGGATCGGGCACCTCAAAAACCGATCCGGATCAGCGAATCGGCGATCCGGATTGAGAATTGGCTAAATCGGTTAGATAAAAGCTTCAAACAAATCTGAAAAAAATATTAAAATTCATTATAAATATTGTTTTTTAGGAATTCAATAGGAAATGAGGGTACTCCGCTAAGAATTTTCATTTTTTTGTATGAATATGCGAATATTGATATGTTCTTTTCCTACATGAACTACTATTTACCATTTAATTTACATCACATAAAAGGATAAACTTAGAATTATCATGGAATAAGTATATCAACATACATGGACTACAATAAAGCATACAATTAGTAACATATGATCTAAAAATAAAATGGCAAACGACGTCGTTCTTCTTCTTGGTCACGTGGTTGCCATTGATTGAATTTGTTTGACAATTCATTGATTCGATCTAAAAACGAATCATCGATATTAGCAGGCGTCTGACTATACCCAAATCCCTGAGTGTTAGTGTTCTGTTGTGTTCCCAATCCAAAATCCCTGAAGCTTGTCCATCCTTCATGCTCACCTACATTGTCGTGCTCATCCCTACCCTATTGCAGTTGGGACTCGATATGTGAATAATATGGCTGGGATAGGGTGACCTCAGAATCATCTCCTCTCTCATTTTCTCTTAGACCCCCTTCCCACTCTCCATCATTAGGTGCAATATCAACTACATCTCCGATGAATTGTGGATATGTTGGCTGACTTCTTCCTCTTTCATGCTGTTCATCACCTTCTTCAAGATCTTCATCACCGATAACCTCAAGGAACGCTCTCTTGTACAACACTAGCTCCTCCTCTTCTACTACCCATTGGTTTGCTGTGTCTGTGACAAATATTGTGTCTAAGTCTATCGGCCCATAATCTTCAAGCTTTCTTCTTATTTGTCGCTCTCGGAGGTTTAAGTTGTAATGAATGTAGACTAGTTTATGCAGCTTCTCCGAAGGGAGTCGATTCCTCCTAGTAGTGTGCAGTCATTGAAATGTACTCCAGTTGCGCTCACAGCCAGTAGCAGAATATGTTTGGGAGAGCACCTTGATTGCTATCCTCTTTAAGTGAGCTGCATCAGTACCATATATCTCCCACCATTCAACTGAATTAAAATGTAAAAAACATTGTAAGGGTAAGAACAATTCATAAGATTAAATATATGAATGAACAAAATATTAGCTAGAGAATAAGCTGGATCCATCTTAGTTCGAGAATTCCTAGCAAGTCTAGTTCTGAAGGATCCTATAGCATCCCTATACTAGAACAAATATATTTCGTTTTAGTGCATTATTCCTCACAAATATAACAACTTAATGAAGTTACATTAAATAATACCTCTTGTATTGCTGCTACTTGGTTTCGATGGCTTCTCTCCAACCTTGCAATAATGTATCTGACCCCGTCCTTAATCTTGTAGGGATGTTCAAGTGTCAAATAGAAAAATTTTGGGTTGAAGTAGTAATTTAGAAAATATATAGATAGGAAAATGTCATTTACAATTTCATAAAAAAATTATTTAAAATGAAACATTCTAATGATATAAATATATATTTACCAGCGTAATGAATTGGACATCCAAATTTGGTGTTCCACATCCTTTCTATAATCTCGATCACTTTGCTAGCAAAACTACATTTCTCCCCAATAGCTGATTTCACCCTCTCGATACCTTCATAAAGGATGCCCATGGTAGCTTTCTGGTCAGCATCCACCATTCTTAACACCGTGATCAAAAGTGCAGTGGCCTCTACGACACGGGAACATCGAAGCCAGAACCTCTTATTTGAGACTATGTCGTCCACTTTTATACCGGCACTGGACTTCGAGAGGCGGTCATTTAACCACTCTTCACAGGTAAACAATCTCTTTGATGCACCTTCATATTCCCCAATGGAGTCCACAGTTAAGTAATCGGTCGCAAAGCGGGTTATAGCAATTCGGATTATCTCTTTTTTCTTAGAGTGTTCTCTAAACAAAAATAAAATTTTAGAGTGGTTGTATATAAATCTCGACACCAACCTTGCTTCCTCTAGAGTCTCTTTCATAATTTTGATCTCACCGATCTCCTCTAACATAAGATCGATGCTGTGTGCAGCACACGGGGTCCATACTAGATACTTCCTCTTATCCATCAACTTGCTGCCCGTAGAAACACATGCACGCGTATTGTCCGTGATAAACTGGACTACATTCTTATCTCCCACCACCTCCACTATCTGATCATATAGTCATACATAGAAGTTTGCATCCTTCTTCGTCCCTGATACGTATTTGCTAGACAAAAAAGCTGTACCTTTTGGGGAATAGGCTAAGAAGTTTAAAAACTCATTTTTGTTAATTTTATTCAACCTACCATCGCTCATGAGAGTAATGTATGTCCTTAGCCAACTCGGTTTATATTTTTCAATCCACTTTGTAACTTCTTCTACCTCTTCATCTAATATTGGCCCACTGAGCTCCTATGCCATTGGGGGTTTTACACCGGGCCCGGCTCTCTAGATTGCACTGACCATAGGTGGAAAATATAGGCTATTGGCCGCATCAAAGGGAATCCCTTTATCGTAGAACCATTTACCAACATATCTCCCCAACATGTTTTTTATACCTTTAACCATGCCATTTAGGGTCATCTATTGTGACTTAGGCTTTGAGAGAAATGGGTTTATACGACAATGACCTGCAATACTGGCACTCTTAGATAAGCTAAGAACTATTTCTTCAAAGTTTGATTCTTGTTGACACATACTGCCACGAACCCCTCTATACATATTTGAGCTGGGCCCGCCATGCATGTCTAAACTGGGCCCGCCATACATGTCTGACCTATACCCACCATGCATGTCTGAGCTAGACCCACTATACATGCCTATGTGATAACCACTGGGCATTCTAAACCCACGTTCCCTCTGATATTGTTCATGTAAACTCATTATTGTGGCCATCTCCAGGTCATTATTATATTGCTCTTCTAGGTCATTACTATATTGCTCTTCTGAATCATTCCTGCTTGATGGCGTATATAAACTAGCTATCTCCTCATTCATCCTGCGTTTGGCAATTTTTTTACCTTTGTTAGCCTTAAGAAATGCCGCCATCTATTTTTTTTACATTACTAAGGACACTATTGCATATAGAAACATCTCCCTATACCCCTGCCAAGTATTGCTTGAACCTATGTACCCCACTACTTTATCACTCTTTGGCAGTAATTACAAATAATTTGATCTTTTTTATTGGGATCAAGTCTGACCCCATGTTGCCATGCAGGGTCTTCTGCAAATCTTGACATGATTCAACTGTTTTATGATGTAAAAAGTTAAAAATTAACCTGACAATTCAACAAGAAAAATAATTACCATGTGTAGTGATAATATGTTAGGGTAGTTCATGTAGTTATATTTGTTGTTATTTGTTATTGCAAAATACTTCTATTGACAATAAAATTTTGTACATATCAATTACAAACATACAGGATAATATAATACAAAATGCAAGCTCCAAACATGGCTACACCTCAATTATCAAGAACATACATTTTTTACATTAAAAATTTAATAATAAAATTGAAAAAATGCAAGATAATATAATTGTCATACATGCCACGATTTTTTTACAATGATATTCACTTTAATTCCTCACGATAATACAATTTAACAACATGTATTTTTTGCGTTCAAAATTTTAAAAATTGAAAATACATTTTTAATGCAAAACTACATTAAAAATATAATACAGTTTTGCTTTAGAAATATAATAACATGTATGTTTTTGCATAAATATTCTATCAACATGCGATTTTTTCAACAAAAACTTTAACGATAAAAATTAAATATATGGTTTAATTCCTCATGATAATCAAAACCTGGTCACTATTTTCACATCTTTTCGGAAAATAACGATTTTTCAAAAAAAATCTATCATGTACTAAAAAAAAAACAAATAAAAAAAATTCTTCACAGAGCCACCTAACATTAGTCATTACAACTCAAAAATGCATTAACAACAAATTAAAAAAATACAGTTTTGCATTAAAAATATAAAAACATGCAATTTTTTTCATAAATAATCTATCAAAAAACAATTTTTTCAGCAAAAGCTTTAAAAATAAAAATTAAAAATATGGTTTTATACCTCATGATAATCAAAACCTGGTCACTATTTTCACATCTTTTCGGAAAATCACGATTTTTCAAAAAAATCTATCATGTAAAAAAAACAAAAAAACAAATAAAAATTATTCTTCACAGAGCCACCTAACATCAGTCATTCCAACTCAAAAATGCATTAACAACAAATTAAAAAAATACAGTTTTGCATTAAAAATATAATAACATGCATTTTTTTTGCATAAATAATCTATCAACATACAACTTTTTCAATAAAAACTTTAACAATAAAAATTAAAAATATGGTTTAATACCTCATGATAATCAAAACCTGGTCACAACTTTCACATCTTTTAGGAAAATCATTATTTTTCAAAAAATTCGATCATGGATAAAATTTAAAAAAAAAGTACAGCAAACTCAAACAATAAAAATTAAAAATATGGTTTAATACCTCGTGATAATCAAAACCTTGTCACGATTTTCACATCTTTTCGGAAAATCACAAATTTTCAAAAAATTCGATCATGGATTACAAAAAAATAAAAAATAAATAAATAAAAATTAAAATAAATCTGTTCTTCACAAAGCCACCTTACATCAGCCATTTCAACTAAAAAATCCACCTCTAAATGAATAAATTACATCCAATTGAGTATATGTTTTGATAAACAACACTATAAAAAATCAAAACCCTAAATTATGAACACATTATCATCAATAAATCAAATCAATTCGATTAAATTGAGCAAAAAAAAAAAACGCAGTCCTTCACAGATAACAGTCATTGAATCTAAAAAATGAAGCTTAAATTGAATAAATCAGATCAAATTGAATATATCTGATTATAAACAAGATTATAACGATTAAAAACCCTAGAATCTAACACATTATTTCCTCAATCGAACAAAAGCTCTTTCCATCCACAAAAATTCATAGGGAGAGAGATTAAAAACAGCAAAATAAATAAATTGGGACCAGGTTGTTATGCGTCCAAGCCCACAAACGTAGAAATGCGGACCGCTTAATCAATTTTAATATTGAAAAAAAAATAAATTTAAAAAATTAAAAATATTAGGCAAACATTTGGAACGTTAGTTTTTTTTACTTTTAGAAAGAACACGGCATGCATCCATTCTAAAGACGAATGTTTTACATCTTTTTCACTCCATACATAAAAAAGCGATCCACCCCGCATGAAACAATTTTGCAATAAATTGATACATATATTAGAGACACAGAGCATATAAAGAGAGAGAACAAATAAGTAAAGAGAGATTAGAGACAGTGCAAATAAATAGAAAGAGAGGAGAGATCCGACACAGCAAAGATATAGAGAGAGAGAGATGCGTTTATTCGTCTTCATAACTCTCCTATTCATTTCAATGCTGCAATTCAGGCTTCTCCGGCATCTAGCAAAAGCAGCTGAACTTTGCTTGGGCTCTACAAAATACACGGCATGAAGCAGTTATGAAGAGAACCTGAAAAGCCTCCTTCAATCCCTCAAAGCCAATGCCTCCATCTCGAGGGGTTTCAACTCCACCACCTCGGGCACGAGCCCTGACCAAGTCTATGTCCTTGCCCAGTGCAGGGCTGACACCACCACCGCCGAGTGCAGAGATTGCATGAACAGGACCACAACCGACGCCCTGCAGTTACGTCCAACCAGGAAAGAGGCGATCGTTTGGGACGATCAGTGCATCCTTCGCTACTCTGATTCCAATTTCATCGGATCAATAAACACGAATCGATTATACCTTTCGAATGTAAACAATGCCTCTGATCGAGACTCCTTTAACCTGGAACTTGGTGGTCTGATGAGGAACCTGACATCGAGAGCTGTCTCTGACCCGCTACTCCTCTATGCATCCGGGAAGACTGTGTACGATAATTTTGTAACGATTTATGGGCTGTTGCAGTGCACGAGGGATCTCGATGATGCAGAGTGTAGGAACTGCCTTGAAAGCTTGATTGCCGACATCCCCAGCTGCTGCAATGGTCATGTCATGTCGGAGCTCAAGTTTTGAGCGGGAGTTGAGTTGTATACTGCGGTATGAAACATATTCATTCTTCACACCCGCCCCTCCACCGCCACCACTGCCAATGCCAAACTCACCGCCGCCACCGGCTACGACAAACGCTCTGCAGCTACCACCGCCACCGGCTACGACAAACTCTCTGCATCTACCACCGCCTGAAAATCCTACCCCTCTAGGTAAGCGAATACTCTCTCACGTCAAACGGCATCTCCTCTGAATATTGAAAGGGATTGCTTAGTGTAGCATGTAGCATACAAACTGTAAAGCATAGGCATTTTCCACCGTCCAATGACAGTGAATTACGGTGAAAATGAATCATTCTCTCCGTTTGAGCTGGTAATTGTGGAGAATGGGTTCGTCGTTACCGTCCATTCATGATCACAGTTTGTGGATGGCCCTCAGGGATCACAATGGGTGCATTTTCCAGTTTTCATGCATCACTAGACTAGTGCAGGGTATACTTTCCCATATAGAAAACAAACAAAAACAGGGTATACTTTCCCAGATACAAAACAAACAAAAACAATAATTACGGTCTATTTTGTGGACTCTTGCATTCACGTAAGTGACCCAACAGTTACGAAAACAAACAAAAACGATAAGGAAAAAGTTTATATAAGGTTGGAACCTTACCTCTACAACTACGGATCCACCAGAAAAATCCATCCGAAGATATAGTTTTAAAGATGAAAAACCCTTTGATTCATGATATATGACCATGAAAAATAAAAAAGTTTTAAATCTCAAAAATAATATATTTTATGACATATTATCTACATCGTCCATTTTCAAGACTTTTATATGTTTATCGATCTATTTGATTTTAACTATTTTTTAAATTTAAAATTTTATAATTAGATATAAAAATAAATTTTGAGATAATCTTAAAAATATTTTACATGAAAATTATATACTATGATAAAATTTGAAGGTGCACCTTACCTCTAGAGCTACGGATGCATTTGTATGCCAACTGCATCCAAACCATAATACTTTCATCCCCATATAAAAAGTTTATATAAAGATGCAACCTTATAATGTAGGGCTACGAATGCACCTAAAAAATCCATCGGAAAAGGTAGTTTTAATATTGAAAAACTTTTGATTGATTATCTCGACGTCGAGATGTATGACCATGAAAAATAAAAAGATTTTAAATCTCAAAAATAATACATTTTCCAACATATTATCTACACCATTCATTTTACAGATTTTTATATGTTTATAGATCTACTCGATTTTAACTATTTTTTAAATTTAAAATTTTATTATTAGATATAAAAATAAATTTTAAGATAATTTTAAAAATATTTTATATCAACATTTTATATTATGATAAAATTTGAAAATGCACCTTATGGTAACACCTACGGATGCGTCCGTACGCCAACGGCAGCCTTTATTTTTTTGTTGAGTATGAACGTTCAATGGATGACAAAGCACACTTTCGAAAGTACGAAAACCTTGTAAAGACGAACTTTTTACGTGTGGTCGTACCCACCCATTTGGTTTGACGCCACCATCAGAATTTACGTTGGGTGAGGTTTGCACACTTTTTACTATATGGGTAGGGTGAACATCTAAAATTTGGTTGGAGGTATTCTTTTATCCTCAAAATCTTGATCATTGTTTGATAATATATTTCTATCCCTATTTTGAAGTTTTAAAAATAATACATATTAAACAAGTCAATGAAGACCTAAAATTCTTGAAAATAGACAATTCAGATAATTTTTTACAAGATGCATTATATTTTAGACTTTGAATTCTTTTTTTCCGTCATGTCCACACATATTGAGGTCAAGATGATCAGATATTGCATTCTCAAACATCGAAACACTCACTTCTGCAAGACTCTTACCTTACTTCAATAGTTTAATGTTGCAACCTTATATAAACTTTTTTCTTTTATTTTATGTATTTTCCAGTGTTTTAAAACTTGGACAATGGATCGAATCTTTCACTCACATATTTATGTTGTATCGCAAGATGAACAATTTTCCAGATTGGGTCTAGATCCGAATTGGTGATCCAAAAAATGTTAAAAAATAATTAAAATCAAATCAAAATTAAATTAAAGGTTTATAGGATCTAAATATAGAGGGGAACCTACACAAATACTAAATAAGCATAAAAAAGAAAAAATATATAAGAGGGTCTTAGGGGGAATTGGGTCAGGACCCATACCATCCAAAACTAGCTCGGTCCTGATCGATTCCCATCTAAATTAATGATTTAAATCAGAAATCGTATGGTTTTAAAACATTGGTCGTTTCTAAAGATAATCTTGATATGAAATCTTTTGTTCTGTCCATTTTAGCATTTTAAAACCCAGTGATTTCTTATCCAAATGGCCATTGGTCAAGACCAAGCCATGTCTAGGACAGTATGGGTCTCAAACCAGTTCCCCTCCCCTTACAAAATCTTCTACACTTTTTTAAGAATATTTAATGTTTTCTTAAGTCCTCTCTATATAGCCACCTATAAACTCCTATTTAAATTTTAATTTACTTCATTTATTTTTTAACATTTTCTAGATCGCTGATTCAAGCTTATCTAGACCTAATCTAGATCGTCAATCCTACAATTTGGCATGGATCTGTAGGTGAGCAATTCGCCTAAACGATCCAAGTATCTAAACACTAGTACATTCTTTGCCGGGGTACACTTAATGATTAATAATAATAATAAAATAAGTTGACTAAAATGGGCATTTTAGTTTTGGATGTGGTTAGCATGCGGCCAAGCCTGCACATGTAGAAATGTGGGCCCCTTAATTAATTTTTTTTTGAAATAAAATTCGACCTAATTTTTAGATAATATATAATCTTAAATGTGGAGATCATGAATATGAAAAAATAAATAAATTTTGAAAACTTGAATAATAATTCTATTAAAAGAACATTTGGATGGTTAGTTTCGATTGTTTTTAGATGAATCACTTATTTGCATCTATCTTTAAAATAGATGCGTTATACCTTTGGACCGCATATTGTACAAATGCGGTCCAACATATTGTTCTTTAGTTTTGCATTAACTACATTCTTTTATTTAGATGCATGTGCTTTTTGAATTTATTGGGGTTTGCTTTCCCCAAGGTAAGACAGTTTTTTATTTTTTAAGGGTTCAAGAGCTTGAAATTTATATATTATAAAAAAGGGGCTAGTGGAAAGTGGGAATCGAACCCATTAGCTCTTGAACTTTTTAAACTACTTTTGGAATCGAACTCATGAGCTCTTTATCTTGAACTTTTTAAACTGCTTTTGTCGGCCAAAAGCAACATACAAAAGCTAGATGAGGCAACCAATACAACTCTCAAAGCTTTATGCTTAAGTGAGGGATACTCGGCCAAGAAACTCCAAGTACTTTTGGTGAGGTCGTGTTTCAAAACACTGATCAAACGTATAATTGCTAACTTATAATTGCTACTGCATTATGGGAAAATAAATAAGTAAAAGGAAAAAAAAAAAAGACGACTATTCCGGTGAGCTAGCCTGCTTTACCAAAACGCGTCATTAAATCAATTGACAAATGAAAGTGAAAAGTCTTTGGCACGACTTCTCTCCTCTCTACGTCAATAAAAGGACCAGGAGCTCTGCACCTCTTTCCATCCACGAAACAGCAAATAAAATTGATGCAGAGAAGACGGAGCAAATAAATAGAGAGAAGTTGAGAGACAGAGCAAATAAATAGAGAGAGGGAGAAAGATAGGAGAGTTCAGAAACAGGAAATAAAAAGGGAGAGATGCGTTTGATTGTGTTTACAACTCTCTTGTTTCTTTCACTACTGGAATTCACGCTTCTCCCGCATGTAACAAAAGCACAAGCAGCTCAACATTGCGTGGGCTCAAATTACACGGCAGGAAGCAGGTATGAGGAGAACCTGAAAAGCCTCCTTCAATCCCTCCAAGCCAATGTCCCCATCTCGACAGGCTTCAACTCCACCACCTCCGGCACGAGCCCTGACCGAGTCTATGGCCTCGCCCTGTGCAGGGGTGACACCACCACCGCCCAGTGCAGAGACTGCATGGACATGTCCACCACCGATGCCCTGCGGCTATGTCCGAACAAAAAAGAGGCAATACTTTGGTACAATAATTGTCTCCTTCGCTATTCTGATTCCAGTTTCTTCGGATCGATAGAAGGGATTCTAATATACCTTTCAAATATAAACAATGCAACTAATCAAGAGTCCTTTAACAAGGAACTGGGTGTTCTGATGAGAAACCTAACAACTAGGGCCATCTCTGATCCGAGACTATACGCATCTGGGACGATTATGTATGATAATTTTGTTACGATTTACGGGCTGTTGCAGTGCACAAGGGATCTGGACGCCACGAAGTGCCGGAGCTGCCTTGAGAGCAGAATTGGCAATATCCAGACATGCTGCAATGGCCGAGTTGGAGGTCAAGTTTTGAGTGGGAGTTGTATATTGCGTTTCGAAACAGAGTCATTCTTCACACCCTCCCCTCCACCGCCGCCACCACCACCTCCTGAAGATCCCGCCCCTCCAGGTACTCTCTCAGTTCAATCGGCATCTCTCTGCTTCACTCTGTGAATATTGGAACATATTGTAGCACCTGGCTTCCGATTTCATCTAACACATTCAAAAACCACTTACTATTTAAAAAACCACTAACGATTTAAAACAACGGGCATGGGCTCGTCTCTATTAATTTACCCAAAAAAAAAAAAAGAGGAAAGGTTTCTATATTTCAAATTCTGAATGTTGAATCCTGCAAGACTTTCTTCGCTAAAATTGTCGTTGCAGATGTAGTTTCTATAAAGCGTATGAAGAAAAGTATTGCCTCGCCTCAAATCTTCATCCAGAAAGCACATTGGGCATCAAAAGTCTCTCTAATGGTTCCAAAATCAATTTATAACATTGACTATAAAATTTAAAGATCAATAAATCATACAAATCTTAAAAATAGACAGTCTAGATAGCATGTTACAAGCTATACTATTTTAAAGGTTAGTAATCCTAATTTATTTTTGACATTCATAATGGTCAATGTCAAATGATCGGCTTTACCTTTCCCCATAAAGCCTAGGCAATTTTTAACCTTTTCCTATTATATTTAGGATGCAATTTCTACGAGGCCCGAGCCTTATGAAAAAAAAGAAGTAAATACTTTGCACAAAACCTCATTCAACAGGGTTATATGTACATATATATTTATTATTCACCCTTTAAAATATGAGAAAGTTTTCTACATTTTCCTTCGTACTTATACAAGACATATACTTCCCCTAATCCCTTAATCCAGCCATCTGATCTGAATGTAAGGTCGAGAAGGACCAATCACAACATCACGCCTCTACACTGCTTTATTTATAATTCTTTCCATAAAACATTTTGACACTAAATTTGCTGCGTCCACTCCTCTCCTAGACTCGCACGTGCAAAAAATACAAAAAAAATTCTCGATCATATAACACTACCAAAATATCCTTACAATTTTTATGGGCATTTTTATATTTTTATTTTATCATAAATATTTTTTTTTTTTAGGTGATCTCTATTGAGTTGATATTTTGTAACCACTAAAAATTTGTTAAAAATAAAAAAGTCTAAAAGCAAACTACACTGCAAACAATATTCAAGTATGAAAAAGATGAAAAATCTAAATTGGAAAGTATATAATGAGACCATTTACCTTTGGTACAAGATACTCATAATGAATCTTGACCGTTGGATGTGAAATTATACGGATGCATTTATTCATTGACCAAGCTCAATGTTCAAAAGGAATTTTATCGATGATTTTGAGTAATTGTGATTTAACATCAGATGATTTAACATCAGATGATTTTGAGTAATTGTGATATGCCTATACCAAAAGTAAATGGTCTCATTATATATAATCTCATTTTATATAAAGTGGACGGAATTTGAAATTTTTTTATTTGTAGCTAGAAACTACTCAAAAAAATCCAAAAAAAAGAAACAATAGAAAACTAGTGCTTATAATAAGAAAAATCACAAATCCTCATTACATAATCAAAATTAGTGTTTCGAGATTCAGCCGAGGCTACTTGGACTCAGCCTAGTTGCTCGCCTCGCGAGGTGAGTTTTATCCAAGTAGGTTGTACCAAT